AATGCTAAAGAAAATGTTTTGGTTATTCAACAGTTTGAAGTAATAATTTGTTCCAAACCACTGAAAATACAAACATTGCAATTTACAATATTTTCATTAGCGTTTTTGAAAATGATTTTCCCAAAACACATCTATATTTTTTAAAAAATTATTATTATTATTATTATTATTATTATTATTATTATTATTATAATAATAATAATAATAATAATAATAATATGTATACCTTTAGGTCATTTTAAATGTTAATTTAAACAGCTAATTTTTTAAAATATCTTTTTACCAACCGTTGATATAATTCGCTGGTCAAATCCGCTAACGCTAACCGCTAACTGCGGATTGTCAAACAAGAACATTGCGAGGTAGTTTCTCACTTCAATTTGTTGTGTGATTTGAATACTCTCTTTGTCAACAAATCCCTCAAGTAGTTAATATGATTGACTTTATTAATTTAAATTTTTTAAATGGTATTAATAAAATACTTGGTAAATAAATACATATCATTATTTTGTATTATAATCTTGATATTTAATTAGAAAATAGTGCACAAAAAAATATATATAATGTAGTGAATATAATCAATTGATGAATCTGAATGTAAAGAATTTTTACATTGGAGAAAAATAAAGACAATATAACTAATGGAATTATTTCTCTTAATTAATTTATTGATAATGAATAATTTTTTTAATAAAGACATTGTAGGGACAATGTAGCGAATATAATCAGAATTTTTAAAATTTGATCAATCTGAGCCATTTATTTGATTTAAAAAATTGACCGCCATTTTTTCTACCCATTATAGGCCTAACTCTCTTGGGCTCTTATTAGTATATATATATTCAAATCTGGTGCACCCCCCTAATTAGATGATCCTGTGAGATTTGTTGATATCCATAGATTGATTCCCCATCAATGGTTGAGATCATGTGATCTTCCTAGAATAAAATAAAGATTTGTCTTTAATAAGGGGTGTTATCAGTAATTGTACCTAATGGCTTAATTATGGTTAAAATTAATATGGGAAGTTATGCATGAATCAAGGGATACTAACACAGTAAATATATATGGTGTGATACATCACATGGGAATAAATAAAAAGCAAAGGTCGATACATTTCATGTTGGAAGCCGGACGGTGAGGTTGGACGCTCAAGAAGCTACCATTCCAGGTTTGTGCATATTAGATTCACAGTTTGTGCGTGGCCAGTTTCTGAAATTTATATGTAACTGGGATACGAGTTTAAAGGTTTGAGCACTAAAAACCCAACAAACTGTATGTGTGTCTGTGTGTATATATGAGAATGCGACTAGTCTGGGAACCAACATACACACCACATACTTTTGATTACGGAGGCCATTTAAGGATAATTGGGTATGTACCAGTTAGTGCATGGAAGTATAATATATTGATTAAAAAAATGGGTATAAAGTGGCAAACGCGAACTTGAGCTGGTGTGTATGAATATTAGAACACGCAGTACATATGCGTATGAAAGCGATAATTTTTTTTTTTTTTTGTCCCCCGAATTTGTGTACTCACTTTTATTTTGTTGACATTTGTGAATTTGGCTATCTGTTATGGACAGTTGTTGATTACCCCCTGACATTTAATTTGCAAAATGACAAAAGCCCAGAATAAAAAAAAAAAGCTGCCAGTTAGCACCTAATGAACTAAATGTAGTGGGTGCGTGTGCATATGAATGTTTGTGCGCGAGTGTGTAGTCTAATGGCAGGCATGTGGTTTCATGGTGTATAAACTTGTACGTATTGCCTCAATGGCATCCGTGTTTTGGTTGATGCATGGTATTATATCCGGAAAGGCCGAAGTCGAATCTGGGAGATGGTGCACGGCATTATGGTTCCTTGTGCACCACGCGTGTAACGACACGGCCACAATGGTAGACGCTGGTAGTCTCAATGGTTGTAGTAAGGACGTAATGGTGAATGCATGGGGGTTGTTAGCATGTGCAAACTGGGAAATACTAATCCGTCAACATTACAGGTGACCTCATGGGGTTGGTGCACAGACAGACATTCGTTTGTGCGTTCACGTGTGCGTCTACTAACAACAGTCTGTGCATTCTGGGTGTCTATTTTGTTTAGTTTTCAATTAATTAGTTTAAATTAATAGTTTAATTTTACAAATCCAGTAGGCATGTTTCATTATTTTTTTGCAGTTGATGGTACTCTGAATGGTTGTAGTAAGGACGTAATGGTGAATGCATGGGCTTTTAAGCATGTGCAAACTGGGAAATACTAATCATGGCCATCTTTCACCTGCTTCAACGACTGTGCATACAAAATATACATACCAAACATATACAGATTACCAACTAGGTAAATATTCAACCACCCCCGTGCATGCCATAACAACACATCGACCAAAAATTATAAAAACGGGTTAGTGGCAAAAGACATCAAAAAAAAAAAGTACATAGATAAACACCACAAAAATCCTAAATACGCCTGTCTTTTCTGCGCCGGCGTACAACCTTACTTACTGCAACGGGGCTATCCACAACAGTCTGCTCATCCTGCGGTGCATCCGCAGCCACCCCATCAGCATGTCCCATCTCAACTCCCGCATCTGCCCCTCCTAAAGTCGACTGCTGCTGATCCTGAACTGAGCTGGACGGAGGAATAACTTCACCAACGTTTTTCTGTTGTGCAGCAACGACACATGCATCAACGGCATTCAAAATCTCGGGGTCCCTCCACATCTCCGTCCAACTTCGGCAGCATCAGCCTGTGGCATAGATTCAACAACATTGCCAGCACACACTGGCTCAACGGCTACAACAACAACCGGCTCAAACGGAACATCAATTGGGAATGACAAGAAGTATTTAGAGTAATAAAAAAAACGAAAAATAAAAAACACATACTCAAACCCAAAACTGCATCCCCATACTGTGGATATGTCTGACTTTTTACCAAAAAAAAAAAAAAAAAACATTATAATGCATAAAACTAAGGAACAAAAACAACACAAGCAATCCAAAAACCTGTAGTGCCCATTAGCAGCAACACAATAATAGTGGCGCACCAACACACTAACAGTGCGCACCAACCAAAAAAGAAAAAAAAAATAAGCAGAAGCAATTTCCAACAACACTTTATCTCTAACTTGCACAAACCTGCAAACATATACGCACAAACCACCCAAAAAAAACTAGTGCCAATTAGCATCTACAATTCACCCTAACTTGCACAAGGTGATGTAGTACTATGCACAAACCTTCCACAATTATCCCTAAATTGCACAAACCTGCAAACATAAACGCACAAACCACCCAAAAAAAACAGCATCTACAATTTACCCTAACTTGCACAGGGTAACAACTATCCCTAACTTGCACAAATCTGCAAACATATACGCACAGACCACCCAAAAAAACAGTGCAAAGGTGCCACCCACCCCCCACCCCGCCCCCCCAAAAAAAAAACCCCAACAGGAAAAAAACCAAGCATATAACAAAAACAACCAACAGACGAACCAAAAAAAAAAAAACACAATAGAACACGAGGCAACCCTACATGCACTGCCACCAAACCCATAGTAGTTAAAGCTACAACATGTTTATACTATACTGCATTCACCTCCTAACCCCTATGCACATAGCATACTTGTAAAAAATAATTAAACCACATCACTGGCAAAAATCCAACCTCATTGGAAAAAAAAAATAAAAATAAAAACTCCATTATGAATCAAAAACAAACCCGGACCCGTTAAAACAGCACTAGCATGACCACCCCCCCCCCCCCTCCACAAATTAGCAGTATGCACTAATTACAGGCTCTGTATGCACAAACCAGCTCACAAACAGAAACAAATTGCACTACGCACCACCCAAATACAGTGTATACACATACAAACAAAATAAAGCCACCTCCCAGTATATTGTTTAATAAAAGAACAAATTACCTTTTCAAGAGCAGCAACAAACAGCAAGACAAAAACACACATGGACAAAAAAACACTTTTCAATCCACCACACAATGAACCTGCAAAAACAAGCAGTATAGCACCACCGCACTGCCAGAAATTAACAAAAAAAAAAAAAAAAAACGAGCAACCCTAACTCCGGCCAGAAATTAACAACACCGCAACCCCCACCCCCAGCCATGAACATCAAAACTCCGGCCACCAAAAGCCACCGCAAAAACCCCAAAAATTTACATACCCACTGCCGCCATTCCCCCTAGAGAACACCCGCCACTGATCACAACTGCCCCAAACCCTCCCATACTGGTAGAAAAACCCCCAAACAAGAATCCCATACAAAACCCAAGTCAATAACCCACAAGCCCACACCAGACATGAAACTACTATACAACCCAGAAACACAAAAGATAACTGCAAAAAGATTAAAAACCATACGATCAAACCAAAAAAGAGGACACAAAATTTTAAAACCTGGAATGGGATCGGGCGCACACCCCCTAAGCCGCTTAGATCTCCTCGAGCTCGACCCAGCCATGAACAACAACGATCCAAGCACCGCAAAATCGACCACAGAGCCTGGAAGCCCAAAATCACGCGAATGAATACGACGTTCAGACAGAGGACACACACACAAGACCTAATGAAACGTTGCAAAGAGAAAGAACAAGCAAGAGTCCTAATTTAACTCTGGACAAGACCCAAAACCACGCGCATTAATGACTTAACATAATTAATACTGTCCTAAAAGACAAAACTAACCCCAAACTTAATAAAAAAATCAGGCACTTGACTATACAAAGGATAAAATCTGCACCGTTAAAAGATGAAATCAAACGACTAGGATTAAGGCTCACAAACACATCTAACTAAGGGGGGTGCACCGGATTCAAAATCAGTATAGTATAGTATATATATATATATATATATATATATATATATATATATATATATATATATATATATATATATATATATATAATATTAGAATATTAGAATATTATTGTCTTGTAGTCTCACATAGAGACGTGGTTAATAGCATCAGACATTCAGACAACAGCCAACACTAACCCTAGAGTTCTCTTCGCTAGTCGCGACTTCGCCTTCGCCATTCCGCCACCGCCAGTCGGCTATTCCGCCACTGCCACCGCCACCGCCACCGCCAGTCGCCTATTCCGCCACTGCCACCGCCAGTCGCCTATTCCGCCACTGCCACCGCCAGTCGCCTATTCCGCCACTGCCGCCTCTAACTCGCCAGACTGCCCAGACACAAGGTCACCAGTCCAGTCTGGCAGTCGCAGCAGCCCGCCGCCTTCACAGTTGCAGCAGTCGCACCAGGTCACCGGGCGACGTTCGTCCCTCTCGGAGACTCGGACTCTCGCCGTTTGCCCCTCACTCCCTCAGCAAGCAGCAACAACAGGTCAACAGTTTGTTACATAGATTTAGGGTTTTGTTATTTCTTAATCTATTGTTAGGGTTCTTTATTTCTAATCTATTGTTATTTAGTTATTTTTAATTTTTAACATAATCAGGGAAGTATAAAAGAGCGATGCTCTGGATCTGATTTGAGTTAGGGCATTGGCCTTCACATTGAATTGGGGAAAATGGCTTCTTTTCTATCTACTCATATTGATACATACATTTTTATGTATTTACTTTTCTGTGGTATATATATAACCCGTAAGTATTTTTCTTTGTTTTTTTTTTTGATGTATAATGTTTTTTAGATGCCTCTTTACTTATAAAGATTTATGCAGTAGACCAAGTATATTTTTGGATCAACACATAATCATATCTTTTATGTTTCAAGGTTTTCTGTTATTTTCACCTGCATTAATTCTTAAATTATAATTATAGCTTGGCATAAAAATGTAATTCTGTTAGAGATACATCATAAAATTAAGTAACATTTGCAATTTGTACAGTGACCATTAATTGTGGCTAAAAGCACTTTGGAACTCATTTTCTATTTTTCTTAAAGAGTCAAAATGTAGATGTTCTACCAAAATAATTGATTTAAGTGACTATGCCTATTTTCCTCTTCAATTAATGAATGTCTTTGATGTTATTGATTGCTTTCTCTGTTCATTTTGTCATGCTTGTTATTATTGATTTATTAAGAACTATGTTTTTAAGAACCCTCCAATTCCATCTTTTATCCAATCTTAATCTCACTCAACTCTAGGCTAACAATTTCGCCCTGTATCATGTTTCGAACCAAATGACCCCTGATGCATATCTTAATATCCAATTCTGCTATTTACTGTATATCCTTAAGGTGCTTGTAACCGAAATAACATAAATATGGGTCCATGGCCGAAATAACATAAATATGGGTCCATGGTTCATGGTAGCTTGATGGATTTAACATTACAGAGGTCCCATCGCCTTCTTTCTTTGCGTACAGCAAAGAGGAGCATAGCAACACTCCGTCAAGCCGCACAATCACCCCGGTGAACCTCGGCAACTCAACACGGACTCTCCAAAATCTCCGAAGGATCTTGTCCAAATCCACAAGTAATTATCTAAATCTATTTTATTTATTTTGATGAATGATATCTATTTCTCTTTTGCTATTATAATTGATAATTAATGAATGTTCCAGTAGAATTTCAATTGTAGAACCACATTTAGCACAATACCACTTTAAAATGAGATTCTGAATGTTAACCCTCATTTTGAGGTTCAAATTGCAGAACCTCAAAATGAGGTTTTGAATGTCAGAACCTCAAAATAAGGTTCTGGTCTCATTTTGAGGTTCCAGCAGAACTTAATTTTGAGGTTCTGATTATAGAACCTCAAAATGAGGTTCTTATTGTAGAACCTCAAATTAATGTTCTATGGTTTTAATTGCAGAATTTCAAAGAAAGTTTGCAATTAGAACTTCAAACTGTTTTGTATGTTTAATTTTTTGTGAATATTTGTTGAAAAATTAATGAAAATTGTAGATGAGTAATTTATGGAATACGCATGACGAAGACATGGAAATGAGGAAAAGTTGTAGACATGGAAATGCCTAGTAGTACTGTAGTAGTGGAAGTAGTGGTGGAAATGATCCCATAGAATTAGATATGTCTCAACAACATGTTATGCATGAAGTTCGAGAAGACATAGCAAATGCTATATGGGGGGATTGTAATCAATGATGTTCTTGTTTTGTAGCTAAACTATGTGTAATGATTGAAATAATTACAATTTATTTAGTAATATACTTTTATTAACTTTCGTTAGTTTTACACATTTAGTATTAATTTATTGAATTTTTTATTTCAAAATTGAATTTGTAAAATGAAATTTAAAAATTTTGGAGAAATAGAAAATTGGAGAAATGGAGAATTGAAAACTGGAGAAATTGAGAAGGAAAACTGGAAAAATGGAGAAATAGAAAATTGGAAATGGAAAAACAGAGAAACGAAGTAAACGACCCCTATAACTCTGTTTTGGCAGCATATATTCTTAAACCACGTACTAAATTTATATAATTATATTGTGTGCTTTGTTAGTATTGGATTCAAATTTTGTACAATTTATAAGGTTGTGACTTCTCGTCTTTTCCCCATTGTTCAACTTCTCTAAAACCCTAGACTCCAAAGTATGTCTTCTGAGCCCTCAAACCCTCCAAATGAAGGCGATGGCGGCAAGAAACTGTCGAAGAAAGAGGCCTCTAAGCTGGAGCGCCAGCGCCGCCGCCAGGAGGCAGCTGCTGCGTCGGCTGCGGTATCCGCCGTCTCCATCGATGACTCCCCCGACCCCCTTGCTGCTAACTACGGCGACTTTCCGCTCGACGATCTCAAGTCCAAGGCAGTCTCCGGCCGCAAGTGGACGGATATTGGCGCGCTGACCGCCGAGCTGAAGGACCAGGAGGTCCTCATCCGCGGCAGGGCGCAGACTATCCGGGCTGTCGGGAAGAAGATTGCGTTTATTGTGGTGAGAAAGCGTGGATTCACCGTGCAATGCGTGTTGACTGTCGCACCTGATCTCGTCAGTGGGCAGATGGTCAAATATGCCACCAGCTTGAGCAAAGAGTCCATTGTTGATGTCGAAGGAGTGGTCTCTGTTCCCAATGTTCAAATCAAGGGCGCTACTCAGCAGGTACAAATTGAGAGTACATATTTTCTCACTAGAGTGCAAACTCTGAAATTTTTTTTAGTGGCAACCTGAACTTTTCAAGGTGGAACATCAAGTCTTTCTTTCCATGGTTGGATAGGATCTGGATGCATGATTTGTCTTTGTGGAAGTTCTCAGGATTATTATGATTACTTCTCTCTCTTAACTGCAGGTGGAAGTCCAAATACGGAAACTTTATTGCATCAGCAAGGCTGCACCAACACTTCCGATTAGTATTGAAGATGCATCAAGAAGTGAAGCTGAAATAGAAAAAGCCTTGCAGGTGAAACCCTATTTCCATGAAGTGTAGGCTACTCTAAATTTGATTTGCAAAACTACATTAACAGGCTTGTTTGGTATGTCTTTCCCTAGAATAAGCTTTCGACAGTTACTTGAATGAATTTATTTCACAGTTATTCACGCATTTATGTATGCAATGGTTTTCATGTGCAGGAGGGAGAGCAGCTTGTTCGTGTAAATCAGGACACTCGCTTGAACCACAGAGTTCTTGATATCCGTACTGCTGCTAACCAAGGCATATTTCGTGTTCAATCCCAAGTTGCAAATGTTTGTCCTAATCTCTCTGTCTTGCATATCATTTTATGCTGTTCTTTCAAAATTTGTTCATGAATTTGTTGTTCAAGCTTATTTGATGCCTTAATTTAAACTTATTGCACAATAGTGGCCTGTAACTCTTCATCAAACATTAGATTAGTGACCCTTTTTTAACTTCTCAAGGATCCTTGAGATTAAAGTTCTGCAGCAAAAAACTTTGTTCAGGAAGATAGACTTTGATACCACTACGTTGATACCTACACACATACACACACACACACACACACACACACACACACATTAACTCCAATGTACAAGTGTATCTATCAGTTTTGGAGTTCCACCCCTTATTGTGTGCTTCGTGATTACCTGTATTCTCACACATGAAAACAAACTTGATTTATATTGGACAACTTATGGTAAAACTCTTCTGTTATGATACAGGCATTCAGGCAGTTTTTGCTGTCAGAAAGTTTTTTCGAAATCCACACTCCAAAGTTGATTGCAGGCTCTAGTGAAGGCGGTTCGGCTGTTTTTAGATTGGAGTACAAGGGTCAACCTGCTTGTTTGGCGCAGTCACCTCAGCTACACAAACAAATGGCTATTTGTGGTGATTTTAACCGTGTATTTGAAATTGGGCCTGTTTTTAGAGCTGAAGATTCTTTTACACACAGACATCTATGTGAGTTTACTGGGCTTGATGTTGAAATGGAGATCAATGAACACTACTCTGAGGTATAATTTTAATCGTCTAACTTCAAATTTATGATGCTATGATTTGCTTGTTAAGCCTTTTTATTTTATTTTTTTTTGCTTTATGCTTCAATGAAAAAACATTGTCTTGGCTGGACGTAAGTTAAGACCTTTATCAGAGTTTTTAATGAAGGAGTACCAAAGTAATTACTATGGATATGGACAGCTAAGGCCTTAGCCTCCTAAATCTGCAAGATTATATATAGAAAAAAATTGATGCGTTGAGCTTATTGTGCAGGTGATGGATGTTGTTGATCGCCTATTTGTAGCTATGTTTGATAGTTTGAATGAAAATTGCCAGAAGGAACTTGAAGCGATTGGGAGGCAGTATCCCTTTGAACCTTTAAAGGTAATATCTGATTAGTCCTTTGACCTTAATGGTCTTCTGTATTTCAATTTTTCCTACACAACATCTGTGGCTATCCTTGAAAAATAAGGAGCTGATATGGCTTGCGAACTAAATATATTAGCACCATGGAGTTATGAATGACTCGTATACTTGAGTAACTTTGACTGCTACTGAAAATTTCATATTTTATTTTGTGCGGACTATAATTATTAGAAGTGAATGACACTGCAGTATTTGCGAGAGACTTTGCGGCTTACATTTGAAGAAGGGATTCAAATGCTTAAGGTGAGAATTCCTGATTAAACAATAAATACTTCTTGTTGAGTGAGACTTCAATATGTTGAAATGCAGAAAAAGGATAACCTGCTGAAGATGTAGGGAACATATCTGTTTTTGCAAACCAATTTTGCTTTCTTTTGGTAATAAAAGTAAAATAAATGAAGCTGGATTTTTAAAAAGGAAGTAAAAGATTTATAAAATGTGGAAATCTCCTTTCATGGTTGCACTTCTCTTTGAGGGCAAGTTGCCAATGTTTTAAGGACATCCTGAGTTATTATGTTATGAACTAAAACTTATTATTCTACTTAATGATGAAAATCTGCTTTGTCAGGAAGCTGGCATTGATGTTGATCCGCTTGGAGACCTAAATACTGAATCAGAGAGAAAGCTGGGGCAGCTTGTTTTGGAGAAGTACTGAAACCCCTTAATTTTTTTTTTTATTTTTATTTTGATGCATGTGTTTTATTTCAAGTCATGATTATATGACAAATTTGATGATGAATTTGTTATGCACTGTTGTCCTTGTGTAGGTATGGAACAGAATTCTATATACTTCACCGTTATCCCTTGGCTGTTCGGCCATTCTATACCATGCCTTGTTACGATAATTCTGCTTACAGTAATTCTTTTGATGTCTTTATTCGAGGTAAAAAAAAAAAAACAAAAAAACTCTGGACTTGCACGTTCTTTTATATTAAAAGAAGTGTTGAAATTTGTTTGATGTGTTATTTTCAGGGGAAGAAATTATTTCAGGAGCTCAACGTGTCCATGTACCTGAATTATTGACTAAGCGTGCTGAGGAATGTGGAATTGATGTTAAAACAATATCAACATATATTGATTCATTCAGGTAACACGAATAATATACTAGTATAGCTTTTTACCAAAATTATTGTTGGTTTGAACTGAAAATGTTTATTTTAAAATTAAAAAAATAGAAGGTGAGTAAGAGAGTTGATGATTTATTTGTTTGTTGTGTGAAAGGTACGGTGCACCTCCACATGGTGGATTTGGAGTGGGATTGGAGCGTGTGGTAATGCTTTTCTGCGCACTTAACAACATCCGTAAAACATCGCTCTTCCCACGAGACCCACAAAGGATCGCTCCATGATTGCCTTGCCTTGCCGCTGGCTGACAGACTCGCAAAATCAAAATCATTTTTGAGTTGAATATTTGTTTTGAATTCTCTCCCCTCCCATATAGCAAGGCAGACAAATGATACATTTCATCATAAAATATACATCTCTCCCTACGTGTATTGGTTTTTAACCAATATAGGAAGGAGAAGAGAGAGTACCTACTGAGCTCTACTGAAATAGGAAGTTAATCCATGAACTAAACCAGTTGCTCAATCTTAGAAGACTTCCACCTGTTCCCTTGATGTTTACTGGAAATATCTGCAACAAACCAACAATACTTAATTAGAATGAGTTTTGGTGAAAGTATTTTGCATGTTTTGTGGTAGGGTGGAATTAAAATGATTATCAATATTGATGTTTAATTGACCATATAATTAGAATGAAAACTCACATATAGTGGTATATTGTTCTAAACTCGCATATAGTGTGTTTTGTAATTATAGGGTAATTAACCAATCAATGTATGCTGTCAAGGTCTTCAAGGATTTGGTTTTTGAGTTTTGTAATGTTTTTTCTGTGTTCCAATGTATATATTCTAAGTGATCGATCTGATCTCTGCAGTGTATATTTATAACACTCTTGAGTCTTGACTGATCATCTACTTCAATTCATCTTTTGTGATTACAACTCTTCAATAAAACATTTTGATCTTTACTAATGTTTCTTACATAAATGAAGGCCTGAGTGTCAAATAGAACCAATCCTCAAGTTGGGTCTTCAAGACCCTGTGAGACGGGCTCGACCAAGAACACATTGACAAGAACCAAACTCGTAACTTTCAAGTACGAGAATCATACTTTATCCACTCAATTACCCTTTCGGGTTTAAGGTGCTTAGCTTTTGTCTGAAGAAAAATGGAAGCATCTTGTTAAAGTGTTTTCAGTACAGATACCAAATCACAACCCTTCACTGGTACAAGAAAAAGGTTAAAATTTTGGGACGACAAATCAAAACCCATTTCCTAAAGGGTGGTTGAGATTTAATAAACATTTATAATAATCATGGTTTACACATCATGTCTATCGTAATCCTGGTTTGTCTTTCTATATATACTGTGTTTTTTTTAACCGACCAACTCGTACCTAGTAGCTATGTACGTAGGCCTTTAATTATATAATACATGGTTGTAAAGTGATGAACAGTGGCAGTAAATTAATACTTTTAATAATTTTGCTCTTTTTTTTTTTCCCAACCATCGCTGATCTCTTTGTCCTCAGCTCTATGATTTTGGGTTTAGACTACAAATAAAGAACATTAAAAGGATAAGAAAAGTTGCCAGAAATAGGAACTTGAGTTTGATAGTTTATTAGTTTGCTTAGCTATTGCGCAAACATGATTGGGTAGACTTGCTATTTATACTCATCACCATCATACTCCCTAATTAGGATTATTATTTATTGGGAGAAGAAGGATCATTATATATTATTTTGGTTAATTAATGGATGCCAACTATTAAAGCAAAGTTTATAAATGTTGCCAAGCCATGTATAATTATTGTGTCTAAGGCTTTTATTAATCAAGACTATCTTATACTCTGTGTGTATTATATATATATATATATATATATATATATATATATATATAGGCTTCGAATCTGGTGCAATCCCTATACTAGATCTCATGATATCCATTGATTCATTTTCCATAAATGGTTGAGATTATAAGAGATTGTGAAAGTAATTAAGAATATATTTAAATCAAAAGGATTAAATAGTAATTGTAGATATATATTAAATTATAGATATAATTCAATTGGAATCTTAAGCATTATATTAGGGAGATTATGAATGGAAATTGATATTTTAAATTATTAGGGACCCTATCAATGGTAATACTTAATTATATTTTGTACATCTGAAATTTTAAATTATGGAAAATTTTACGGCGGTGTGTGCGTGGGTGTGGAATGGTATGTGTGTTTTATAGTTTGCCATGGTGTACACCTCCTGTTACAGAAAATCGCACACGCCATTCCACACCCGTGCACACACCATCGTAAAATTCTCCACAATTAAAAAAAAAAAAAACACACAACAAGCCCAATACTATATCTACGTTTCGCACACGTCCGAAACTAGTAAAACACAAATCAAAATGTACATGCATGTATCATGAAACGCACATATCAAAACGCATAATTTTATGAAAAAAACCAGCATGCCATGGTGTACGAGCCCTGTTACAGTAAAACGCACACACCATTCCACATCCACGCGCACACCGCCGTAAAATTCCAAAGAAAATTACTAAGAGAGAGAGAGAAATATTGATTAAAGAGAGCTGAAATAACGCTACAAATCTTTATAAACATGGAAATAAATGAAATGGAAAGTTATAAATATAGTGCTTAAGGACAAAAAGACCAATGCTTCATCTAAAATCAGTATAACATGGGATCCAAGTGGTAATCAATCTGAATCATCAAAAAATTAAAATCAACGATCAGGAATGTGCTCACGGGCTCGGCTGACTAGGGGGTGTGCACCGGATTCAATATATATATATATATATATATATATATATATATATATATATATATATATATATAGCTTCGAATCCGGTGCAACCCCTATTATAGATGAAATCATGAGATCTCCTAATAACCATTGATTCATATTTCATGAATGGTGGAGATTAGAAGAGAATATTCTAGTAAATAAGGATATATTGAAATCAAAAGGGTTAATTAGTAATTGTAGATATTTGTTTAATTATGGTTAGATTTGAATTGGAATCTTTGGGATTATTTTAAGGAGAAAATGAATGGAAGGGGATATTAACAAATATTTGACGACCTGTGTTGAACCTTAAATGTGCTTGAATAAGGCCACCAAAACAAAACGCATCGTTGGGATTGTATGAGTAAACCTGGAAGCAGGAGCGCAGATCAAGAAACTATAATGACTTCTAGCAACTCTGGTATGTGCGAAACTTTGTTTTGGTCTGTGCGTTTTTCTGGTATCATTGTTTTAGGTGTTGTTTAGAATGCATCGTAAGAATACCACCGTAAAATGGGGTGTGTGTGCATGAGTAACCTATTTGTTAGAGTGCGCTATGACAGGAAATGATTAAAGAGTTAGTGGTAGCGTAAATTATAGATTGTGATGTTGGGTTAACGGTTTTGGATTGATTGGTTATGGTAGGTGCGTAAACGTGATTGTGGAGGAATGAAAGGTATGGGATAGCCAGTGTAGGAGTAAGGGGTGTTAGGGTTTTTGAAATAGGATGCATATTATGAAGGACGTTTGTGCGTATAAGTTTACCGGACTGTGCGTGAATTTCCAGGCTTGATGATTGAGAGTGCTCATGTATAATATTATTAAAAGGGCGTATTTACATTAATCATTTGGGTGTTGTTTACGTGAATACGTTTGTGTTGGTGTGCGTACGAAACTGTTTGCTTTTATGAAGTTGGATGAAAGGATGAACTTAGGCATGTGTGTAAAAGTAAAACAACGTGTGCGTATGGGTTGGTGTGTGTGCGTTTTAGTAATGGAAGCGTGTGCGTATGGGTGGGTGTGTGTGCGTTTTAGTAACAGTGCACCCCCCACCCCAATTTCGAACAACAAAGGCTTGGGCAAACGAATGCGGTCTGCTAAGGAGTTGGCAATGAAAGAGCAATGTAAGAAAAAACGTACTTGCAAAACATGTGGATTGGCAACAGGGCCCAACAGCCAAAGCTGCCCGCAGAAGTAGAAATGATTGCATTAATGTAACAGCACACTTACCAAAAGACGTTCATTCTACATGATGGGGTGTGCATAGCTGCTTTAAATAAATTATTTTATGTTACCATGACTAAGTGGTGTGGTTTTGCTACATTTTCATCCAATAAATTGATGGTTATATTCACGCGTGAAAATTGTTGCATCTGGACTAAAGTTACAAAAATAACCATAAATGGCGTACATCTATAGCACGTAGCAAATATGTATTGCAGTGTGCACAGACTTCGGGCCTAGGACGCGCACATGACCGTATGTAATTTCCTACGTCCTAGAAAAATCGTGCATGGATTGACAAAATAGCATAGGAATGCAATACTCTTGGCAGACCGTTTCCTCAAGCAGAAGACATAAAAAAGACCATGACATACCCATGATGTTAACGCACACACCAGACTACCCACGCACATGCACACAAAGTACTACGCACATACCACCCAATAGCAATGCACCTGCTCACACAGATGCTTAAGTAAAGGCGCCAAAAAAAAAAAGACCCATGCATGTGTTTATAAGTAAAATACGAGTGACATCAGCCTCTCGAACATCGATCACCGACTCATTTTCTACCCGCAAACACATGTTCACGAGGTCGAAATTAGATAACAACCACCTCGCCATTCGCTTGGGAATGTCATGGGTCCGTAAATTCAAGAGTACCCCTAACCCCAAATCAATGACGGCTTTCTTTTGGCACGCGTTAAATCGCTTAATTGGATTCACCAGATGCTTAGGGGACGCACGAATCTTAAGGGCGGGAAATAGTGCATCGTCAACTGCGCCAACGCCATCATCCGATTCATCAGAATCGCACCCCTGTTGGTCAGGGCGAGCAGATATTCCACATCAACGGGTGGTGGTGGCAAGGGGACTACCACATCTTCAACCAGTACGGACACACCAACAATGTCCCTGACAACAACAACCATTAACACAAGGAACAAAAAACACCACAACACAAATAATTAAAACGCAGTACAATATAAACTATTATAAAATTCGTACGCACATAGCCAAATCCAAGACGCACACACATAAACTTTATACAACACACCAATGAAATTCACAAAATCTAATCACAAAAAAAATGAAAAAAAAAATCTTAAAACGACTAAAAATAATAGTACGAATCACAAAACCACCACAACACAAATAATTCAATTCCAGGGCAGCAAAAATATACTAAAAGAGTCTTACGCACAGACTCTCAACCCATGATGCACACACATAAATTCTAATCACCCCCGCTCACAAGTCCAAAGAACACAAACGTAGGTACCCCATCTCAACAAAAAAAAAACAAAATAAACAAATACGCACGTTTTACGACAAAAAATAATAGAAGGATTAAGAATAACACCACAACAACAACAAAAAAAATTACATTCAGGACATCATAAATGTAATAGGAAATACCTACGCACAGATTCTAGACCCATGACGCACACACGTAAACATTATTCAACACACCAAAGTAGCACACAAATCAAAAGCACAGAAACATCAGTACCCCTGTCTAGAACAAAAACACACACAAAAAAAAAAAAAAAGAAAAAAAAGAATCCATAATGAAGTCCCAAAAATTCAAATACTTTTGCATGATGCCATAGAATTGATTAGAGCCAAATGCCCCTCATTTATCCGATCATAGTCATCATATCCTCCATGAGTTAATAAATATGAACCCAGAATGAACTCTCAAAATTCAAATACTTTTGCATGATGTTTGCTCACCATCTAAAATATAAATGGCAAGTGGGAAAATGAAA